TTTTTGCTAGATGATGCTATTGTATTATTAAAACGTGGTTTTGATTTTATTGTTTGTCAGTTTTATTATTCTTCCGATTTTTTTCAAACAAAGTTACTTTCATTTTCAATTTTGCGGTTCCATAGTCAAGAAGGAACCTTTATACCCTACCCTTTTCTATACCCTTTCATGATATCTGCCTGTCCGTCGGTCTGCGGTTTAGCGAAAAAACGAGTTGTATTAGAAAGGAAATTTAGCATGGTTTACATTTTAATCACGCCGACAAAGTGGTAAAATAAAATCATGAAAAACATTTTTCCCTTCTTTCCCCTTCATGTAAATTTGAAGGTGTTTTTTTATCTTACTATTGCGTGGGGTATCGTTAGATAGGTCTTTGAAAGTCAACGTTACGGCAGTAGTGTATATAACGACTTTAATAGGAAAACTATCACCTTTTAGTTTGCTTTACAAATTTACGAATAATAATCGACCAAACGAGATAAACCATCATCCATGAAAAAGCGCAAGAATAATGAAACGATTCTCCTTGTCGCTCGTTACATCATATAGGTAATACAAGACAGTAACCCAAATAAATATTAAATAAGTATTAAATACCCAAATATATGTCGGTAAAATGTTCATACCTGTGTAATGGATTTACTTCAGATTGACTGAAATTTTGAATGAACTACAAATGCATTGTGCAATGTTTATCTTAATACAAATGTCACAGGTTACTTCGCTACAGAGTGGCTTACAAAGAAAATGATACAAATGTGCCACAATGTATAATATGCGAAAACTCAAACAAACCGATATCCGAAATGCGCTTCTATATTCTCTTCTCTTCTGTACATCTCGGGGTTGGCCATTTTAAAATGATGATTATATACTATCTATTACATCCTTTAAATAATGTCTATTAATCTGTTAATCATAGAAAGGACAACATTGGGATAACTTAAGTATCAAGAGCTTTATAATATGACAATTTCTTAATTTGACTTAATAAGTACTTAGGCAGCACTGACTCAATGAAACTTAACTTGGCACTCTAGGCAAAAAGCTAGGCCTTGGTGTTCCTTAAAATATCCTATAATCGCCTATAAGGACGGGCCGGTCCTCTACTTAGGAACCTGCAAAATACCTTCTATACACATTCATAAATATTATGACCGTGAGGCTATATTTTCCTTAGCATATCTCTGAGAGCATCCGTCAGTTCAGTTGCGCCATCTTATTATATTTTAAAACGAATTCTTGATTCTTAAGTCCCTAATTTTATTAGTTTTACTAATCTAAATAGCAACAAAATGGCGCGGTACGCAGTTTCTAAGAGAAATGAGACACTTTGTAGCACGGATGGATTGAGATCAGTCAAGCAGAGCCACAACTAGAACTATGCGTTATTAAAAAAATTCAAAAAATGGCCTAGGCCACCATTTACTTGATCTCATCTATTCGCCAGTCTGACGTATACAGGTTATTTTCATAAAACTTCAGTCATTTTGGCAAGACTAGTATTAAAGGACATCACCGAAAATGGCCCCAATACCATTAAATATTAATACTTCAATAATAATTACTAATTTATTTATTAAATTGGAATCAAATATTTATTTGAAACGGCCAAGCTGCGATCCAAAATTAATATTTAAAAGTACTTTAACAGTAACATTTTTATTCGCAAATATTTACATTCAATATACTTAAATTCTGTTGAGTCGGATGGATGTAATTTACACGTCTGATCAAGAAGATAATTTATTTTTATTAGATAACCTTTAAATAATCGAACACAGAAACATTAAATTAAATTGACCGAAAATGAACTTAAATTTACTAAAAGCGTCATCTCGCCATCGCCATCATTTATCATCTCTTCTTCATCATTTTCCAACTAAAACATAAGGACATAAAAACTGAATATTATACAAACTAAATTCATTAACTGTTGATAATTCACTCTTGTTTATTCAGAAAGATTGATATTCATACGACATATCCTAAAAACTACTTTGTTTCTATTACATTACCTTTATATTTCTCGTAAACATTTATTAACGTCATGTCATTTATGTATTTAAGGCGCCATCTTTTGATGTAAACCATCAAAAAGCTATAGGTTTTTTAATTTTAAGCTTATCAATAGGTATATTATTTAACTATTAGAATGATTTACTTGTCTGTTGATTGACTTAGAAACTTTTACAAATCACAACGAAAAACCGACTTTCTTAAAGTTGAGTTTTTTTGCTTCGACAATATAGACATCAATATCATATCATATACTTAGAGTGCCATCTCTTGGTGGTTTTCCAAACAAATTATAACCTCAAAATGAATTATATTTTGCGTGATAATAAGTTCTAAAACTCGGTCGCGGTATAATAAATACATAATGAGAATTAGTTAGTGACACACAATAAAATAAGTATTTTCCTATATTTTTTTGGCTCTGGTCCTTTATATGACATTCTGCAAGTATCTTCAAGCAGTCACAAACTGATAAATTACGGTAAATAATTATTTTCAAAATTGAAAATGGTGACACTGCTGGGCAGACGGGCATTTAAGATTTCTTTCATATGCTTTTAAATAAATACACTGTTTATTTTGAAGGATATCACATTACGAATGGCATTTATCAGAACGTTTGATAAATAGCTTAAGAATATTATCTAATCAATGCAAACTAACATCAACTAATAAATTCTTCATCGTTCGATCAAGTTCGACAAGCCATTGGTTTCCCCACAGCACGCTAAGATTAACTGGGAGAGAATGCCTAAAGCATTAAGTCCGCGAATGTACACTTTTGCATGAAGAATTAAATAAAATAAAAATAAATAATAAACATCAAAATTTAAACAGATGTTAAAAGCATAAAGAAAATAAATTTTGCTCTAAAACAAACTAGCCACTACAAAATACTTACTTGTTGCGGTTTAATCTCGCCGCTCATGCCTGTTTTCTGGTTTTTATCAAATAGTAGGTTGACGTTGTTTTGCGGTGTCGCCAAAAAACTAAGGTTGATCTCGCCAATTCCTGGCACGTTAAACTGCTGAGTGTGTACCGGCTGGTTATTGACAACCTGTACAAACAACAGGAACAACTGTAAATATTAACTGTACTTAGCATAATATACAGAGGTGGCAGATTTTCGCGGCACGCCCGAAAATTGGTTCTTCCTGAGTTTGCATTTTTGTTTTATGAAACAATTTGGAATCTTTCCTTAAATGACCACAATATAAAACATTATGTTTCTGTGAATATTTCAGAGGTAATCTTCAAAGTAGTTACTTTGAATATTATTAACGAAATATTAACATAGGTCGAACAAATATTCAGTCGTTCTATCATAAGTTGAATCGACGTTCAATCACTCCATCGTAGGTCGTACCGATGTTCAATCGCTCCATGGTATGTCTGATGGTCAGTCATTTTATCATAAGTTGAATCAACATTCAATCGCTCAATCGTAGATCGAACTGATGTTCAGTCGCTCCATCGTACGTCTTATGATGTTCAAACATTCTATCATAAGTTGATTCGACGATCAATCGCTCCAAAGTAGGTCGAAGCGATGTTCAGTTGTTCCATCGTACATATAATGATGTTCAATCATTCTATCATAAGTTGATTTGACGTTATATCACTGCAATGTAGATCGAACCGATGTTCAGTCGCTCCAAAGTAGGTCGAACCGATGTTCAATCGCTCCAACGTACGTCTAATGATGATCAATCATTATATCATAAGTTGAATCGACGTTCAATCTCTCTATCGTAGGTCGAACCGATGTTCAGTCGCTCCAAAGTAGGTCAAACCGATGTTCAATCGCTCCAACGTACATCTAATGATGATCAATCATTATATCATAAGTTGAATCGACGTTCAATCTCTCTATCGTAGGTCGAACCGATGTTCAGTCGCTCCATCGTACGTCTAAAGATGTTCAATCGTTCTATCATAAGTTAATTCGATGTTCGATCGCTCTATCGTAGTTCGAATAGATGTTCAGTCACTCCATCCTACGTCTAATGATATTCAATCTTCTATCATAGGTTGAATCGACGTTCAATCACTCTATCAAAGGTTGAATCAACATTCAATCACTCTATCAAAGGTTGAATCAACATTCAATCGATCCACCTTACCTACGTCGAACCTTTATTCAGCGACTTCATCCGTACCTCTAACTGATGTTCGGGTGGCTGAACATAGGTAACAGCGACGTTAAATTGCTCCCTCGTACGACAAACTGATGTTTAGCGGCCTCACCGATTGTTGCTATGATCTGTCATTTAGTAACTGCAATTACGAAAAATACTCCCTTAAAGACACGATATGTTTGAATAGTTTTCTCGACGTTTACTCGGCTAATTGACCCACCAGAAGCAGCGACAATAAAACAATATATTACAGAGTTTTAAAACATATTAGTCCCTTTAGTCGAATAAATTTCATCTGATTTTTTATAATACCATATGTATTTATAGTACAAATAGACTGCTGTAGAAAAAGACATTATTTTGGTCTCTGCAACACATATTTTGTACAATAAATAAATTTATGAAAAAATCCAAGAATATGTTACGTATTTAAATGACATAGCTGGAATTAGTATGGAGCTGTGCCCGAAAAAAAAAATCTTGTACATTAACATACAGTGGGTTAGATTTAATATTTAAAGTATGTCTTTGCAATATCACAAATTATATATCTGAAAGAGAAGGGAGAGGCACCATAACATGTTACAAAAATTAATACTTTAACATTTGTATTATCTAAATATTTTAAGTATACATATAAACATATAAATATGTGTAGATGTTACATAATATGTAAATATATGATGTAAAATACACCAGATTATTATATTTTTAAAAATATTCTTAATTACACCAGATGTGGTGAAAAATAATGTCACATATTTTGTCACATGTTCTAGAGAGTTGCGTGGTCGCTACCATATATTTTAATTTATTTTTACAAATTGATAATTACTGTACATTTTAATAGATTCTTTGGGCAGGATTCTGCCATGTCATTTACTATTGTAAAAAAATTTAAAAGCTCTCCTGTAAAATTTACAACCAATTAAAAGGTGTACCTGCAAAAACTTCTGCTGCTGAAGATCTTGCTGCTGTAACTCAGATTTCTGTTGTTGCTGCTGTTGTTGTTGCTGTTGCTGCTGTTGTTGTTGCTGCTGCTGCTGCTGCTGCTGCTGTTGTTGTTGTTGTTGTTGCTGCTGCTGCTGCTGTTGTTGTTGCTGCTGCTGCTGTTGCTGCTGCTGCTGCTGCTGTTGTTGTTGTTGTTGTTGTTGTTGTTGTTGTTGTTGTTGTTGTTGTTGTTGTTGCTGCTGCTGCTGCTGTTGCTGCTGCTGAAACTGTTTCTGCAACTATCAGTGGTTTATACTATAATAGTTTTAACATTGGATGATATCACGTACATACAATAATAAGCATATAGAAGATATTGTAATATTAATAAGGAATATGCGTCTGATTCAAAAAAGGGTTTAATATATTTTATTACCATCATTATTGCTTTAGAATAAAGTCTCTGTAAATATTTTTCAACATTAATTCGTTTTCGCCTTGAAAATAATTATTAAAAATTGACTAAAAAATGCGGTAACTTCAAAATATTCAAACGCCATGCTACTTGTCAGAGCGGATGTGACGAAAATGTACACGTATAGGGATGTCGTTGTTATAAAAAGTTAACATCGATGCAATAACATCAATGTATTTATGGCAAAATTAAAAAACAGTTCACAATTTAAATGATTTTTTAGGCTTTTATTTTTATTTCATCATTTTGGTAAACTATATGATTTGTTAAAAAGTTTATTATACTTTAAAAAATCGATTAGTTGTTAATCGATTTGGGTAATTAGATAATAATCAATCACTCAAAATACATATTGATTTAAAATGTCATATCTCTAGTCGTGTACTTTGAAGTCACGATAAGCGCGCCAAAAATTCCGCTGTTTAAACTGCTCGTAGCTATTACTTATTTTCACCAATTATTAATGCTACAAAATTTTAGTTTTTCGGTGCCGGGTATTTTTTTGCAGTAATATATCGATGTAAATTATCATATAAAAGCATTTTCCAAAAATATGCATATTCCCTATTATGAATTGCACTGACTCACAACATATTAAATATTTGTTTCAACTCATTTGTGTATGCTATTAGAAAAAAAAAAATGTATTCTTACAAGTTCCTGCTGATCCTGTTGATTTTTAATGTGTTGTTGTAAAGCCTGCTGATGTTGTCTTTGCAAAGCCTGTTGTTGCAATTGTTGCAACTGTTGCTGCTGTAACTGCTGCAATTGTTGTTGCTGTAACTGCTGCAATTGTTGTTGTTGTTGATGCTGAATTATTTGTTGTTGTATCTATAACAAATCAGATTATACAAAAAAACCCATAGCTTGCTTTGACCATATTAAAAATAATTGAAAAAACAAATACATATTTAATTGATGATTCTAATGATTCTTCTCAATATTAAAAAGTAAGCACACACTCATCATTAATTTTAGAATTTCTCACAAGTTAGAATTATTATTAAAGTACAAATCCATTTCCACCTAAAGTCTAAAAAGTACATGTAAAGACACTCTTCCAACATATTTTTTTGTTCTGTGGCATAATCACTCCAATCACACAATCTCATTTTATTAAGTACACCTGTCTTAATAATGCAGTAATAACATTTCTTGAATCTTATGTAAAAATAACAACTGACCTGAAGCTTATCATCCTCTTCTTTATGGTTTCTATACCTATATTCCTCACCAGGATTCTGGCTATCCAATATTTCAGTTTTAGGCTGTTTTAATTCTGGCCTCCTAAAAGTATTGTTTTGTTTATCCAAAGCTAATAAAGTATTTGCAGCTTCGTATTTATCCTCAAAAGTGATACCAGCTTTTTCAGCCAAGGTTTCCAAGCACTGCAGTGGTCGCTTCACAGGCTTTAATGGAACTTTAGGTTTATCAGATTGACTCACAGGTGGAGGTTTAGATATAGTTCGAGTTATAGTAATACTATTTTTGTTACAGTCATCTTTCTTGTCATTTTTTGGCTCTAAAGTAAAATAATTTTTTTGATAATTATCTTTATCTTTATCACTATTAATATTTCCGTTTTCTATTAATGTAATAGTAGTGGAATTTGCAACTTTTATTGTCTTATCTTTAGAATCATCTTTTCCTTGTGCAGGCGATCCTTGAGTATGTGTAGGAGACAAAAGATGTTGGGTGACTGCATGCTGTGTTATAGAAGCAGTAACATTGTGCTCAGGTGAAGAGGTGGGCTTATCAGATGTTTTGGTTAGTTGTTGTTGATAACCAGGACTTTGCGGGTCCTTTTCTTGTTCTTTCTTTTTTTGGATATTCTCTAGGATTTCAGACCTGAAACAAGAAGAATACATTTGTTTTAAATAGCACACAGTTCATTAGTGGTCCACAACTTATTAAGCAAAAACAACATAATACCAATTTTACACACAGAAGTATTAATCATACAGCAAAAAATTATACTAATTAAATTAATAAATAATGGATTAATTTCCAATCATATAGTTTCTAATATGTTAATATTATATCTGTATCACATCATAATCTTCATAACTTACAACAATGACACTACTAAAGCAGACTTAGTAATAAACAAATATTTTTTATATTAAATAAACTGAAATATAAAAGTCTCCAAAGTGAAATCCCCGCAGCTATTTATTTATTAATCCCACAATGTAGTATTAAGATGTTCACAAAAACAAAAGTATCATTATGGACCCTAGGCACAGTAAATTACTTGCTATATTCTAAAAAATATTGGTAAATATCACGAAACTGTATCAGTGTTATTACAAAAAAGATAAACAAGCGTTGAACACGTGTTTAAAAAAAATTCTATTACAAAATCGTATTTAGGCACTGTTTAAGGCTAAACATCGCTTAAACATTGTTTAAAATATAAACACTCGTTGAGAGTTGTTTAACGCGTGTCTAACCTCAAAATAGGTTGCGCTTTGTTGAAAATTCATCCATATTCTTAAGATAAAGATTATATTGATATGGTCGATTTAGATTACATGGAAAGCTTTTAGGACGCGTAAGTAAACCGAACGCGAATTAATCCATTTGAGCAATACAATGAACTTTGATATAAAAAAAGTACATATTTAGTGGATTGTTTGCTGACAAAATATATGAAATTATTTAAGACGATATTCCACATAATCCTCGAGATGAAAGTATAGATCTGCAAATAAATACACGTAGCATGTGCATGTGTGCATAGCTTCTGTGTCTGTTCACAGCTTGTGAACATGTGCGGCGTTGGGTTCGGCATCAGGTAGTCGTTGTTCCGTTTCTTCATATTATTTCGCTATAGTTTTACTTAATCTTACTCTAATATGAATTATGAATAGAAGTGCCAGTTTAAAAACGTTAATTTTGTACTTTCTTTTTTACTTTTGAAAGTTATTAGCTAATACGTTATTGAACATATCTTTTTACGATTAGAATTTATCATAAGTCTGTTTAAGATGTGCATATAATGGAACGTGTATGAACGAATGAAAGCCGACTGAACGAATGCTTTACGGGTTGCATGTTTAAATCAGCGTTAGTTAGACTACGACTAAAAATGGATTTGTAATAGACAAAGTTAAACATCATTTTAAACAGGGTTTATATTCTTAGACATTGTTTACTTAAACACATGGTAAAACCCTGTCTAACATCTCTTTTGTAATAACACTGTATGTTTCCAGTCATATAATTCTTTCTATTGATAGAGTGGTAGTATTTTAAATTTCAATATTTTAAATAAAATACTGAGAATAAAAATACCTATAAAATAGACTCAATATTTAATTTTATTGATATCTTGAGAGATTTAATAGAATGATTTAAATTAATAGTATGAATTGCTAATGTCATCTCTGACAATTTTTTTATCAAAACATCCAACAATTGTATAAATAAAGTAATAATAAATTTTCTTTGTTGGCTGTGTAAAGTATTCTGAAATTATTGTACCTGGAATAATAACCTTCCATTTGGTTTGCTCCAAAGTAATATCAATTTTTTTAACATGAAAGCATGAAAAACCCAACAAGTGCTAATAATACATGTACATTACACAACAACACAACATGTAAAAAACTAAATTTAAACAAAAATCGGGTAGCTGAAAAGCTATACAAAAGAAAGTAAACATAGATTTTCTAACATAAGATTTTTAAAACCAGGCAATCGTAATGTGAAAATGAAGTCACAATCGAATCCAGAAGCTTTTTTGTTATTGTCTCAATGACAGATCTTTATTAATTGACAGCCATATTGACATTAACTTACTTTTTGATCGGTTAAGGCAAAGGAATCCAAAAACATACGATCTTACCTTTATTATATAATTAGTTATGTTGAAACATAATATCAGTAAATAATTTTCTACCGAATTATTTATTATATAATCAGAAAGAAAGTCAATGTATTTTTTTTTGTTTTTGTACCTATTATCATCAGCCTTTTTACGTCCCCACTGCAGAGGCTCAGGCCTTCCTTATGGATGGTTAAGGAGGTTGGGCCATGACCCTCCACGCTGGCCACGCTGGCCCAATGCGGATTGGAGGGGTTTTTTTTTTTCTTACCTATTCATTGTCTATTGCAATCAAATCAATTCATTAATTAAAAAACTTTTATAAATGTGAAGTATTTGAAAGCTGTGCGGTACTGAAAATATTCGGTGATCTTACATAATCGTTTGTTGTAGTTACAGTTGTATTTTACTCTTTGGTAAAACGATTGCAAGGTGATTGAAAGTTAGTTGAGTTGTTGATGTGCCGCGAAATTTGTAATTAACTAACTTAAACACTTTTAAGTATCTTCAATAATTTAAAAGTAATTCCATCACAGGCATCTTATTCTTTTTTCTATACGTGTGACAAAAAATGTTTTATATAGTTCGAAACTTAGAAATCAATAGAAATACGAATAAGTACAAATTGAATACGAGTTATTTATTGAGTTTGAAAATTATTTTACTTTTATACATGAAAGAAAACCGGAAGGGTTGTCATAAAGAAATCCAAAAAGTACTGTATGTAACGACATCTAGTTTGATTACGGGAACTAATGCTTTTTTTAAATACTTCATTGATATTTTATAATTTTAAACATAATTGAAAATTCCCCTTCTTTTTAGACACGTTAAATTTCCTCTTACAGGTAGCTATTATGTTTTCTCGTTATAATATAAGTATATGTTATAATTAATAGGTCTATAAAACTACCGCTCTCCATATGTCCCAAAGTGCGTTCGAACTATGTCGAAATTTTAATTAATAAAACTAAACCAAAATAAATGAAACAATAAATACGGTAAACCTTTACAATTATTTTTTTTTGTCAAAAGATACATAGTGAATAATTTAATTGTGCCAATATTACCCTCCTACCAATAATAAGTGTACTACTTAACTCAACATAGACGTTCGCGCAATGATAAGCATGCATTTTGTAAGCGATTCGGACGTTAAGTAACTGACCCGTTAGAGGAGAAGTGACCAAAATTTGTTATCTCGAGGTCCTCCGTGCTTCAAAAGCTACGTTAAGACGTTGGTCGCAACTGTACCTGCACACCGCACCCGTTTCTGACTTGCAACAAGTTTGATACGTCAAAAAAGAAGATTTGTTTCAAGTTTTCCATGACAACACCCAGCAACTTGCAGCAAGTTTAAATCAAATGTGTCAGTGTGACATACCTACCAGGGATGCGACCGCCAAACTCATGCATGTAGCCGTAGTCGTAGCTATAGCCTACGCTTTATAGGTTTTACATATGAATACAATTAAAGCAAGTTTTTATATTATTGAGTCTTTAATTAGACTGTGCGAGTTAGGTTCCTTTGCTTGTTTCGATTAGCAACAACTGGAGCTATGGCGAGATATGATTTTTAAATTGATTGATAGTTTTATTTTACTTTATTCCAAGTTTATTTCGTTGTATTCTTTTTATTTTTAGAAACATTTTGTTTTAAAAGTATAGTATGTATACTTCCTTCAGAAGCCAAGGATTTACGTTATATGCTACACATATGTGGATATAACGCAAATTTATATCCACATTTTTTTGGTAGTTTTTATCCGTAAAGGAAGAGCGAAATTATTGTTCTCTTTGAAGAGAGCTTAGCCCATGCAGCCATTGTCTGTTGTACAAAAATTTTCTTGGATGTTATAGAAAAAAAAGACGCCGTAGCTATGTCTTTAATAATAAACAATAATATGAAGAATAAAGCCATGAAGGTCTTGTTTGTACTGCAGCAGTAAAATCAAATTATAATGTCACAAATCGAGATAAACCTCAGATCAAAATATTTCACTTTTTGTCTTCATTCATTTCATTTCACATGTCGAAATTAATTTACTTTAATTTAGGTAATATAATCACTTTGCGAAAATAAGCCTATAATGTGAAAATTTGCATATGAGCATGTAAAAATTGTAAGCTGCACTTCCAAATATGTATATTACATCTTTTTTTTGTGGGTTGTTGTTGTTCTAGTGGTTTATGAGAATGTTTTCGACTCTCACATGTGCTCTGTAAAAGCCTTAACTGACAAATAAAAAAAATTTTTAAAACATGTCATGAGATTGTATTACTAATAGGATATTATTGAGTTATTATATTACTAATTACATATTATGATTAATTAAATATTAATATTTTTCAATTAGATATTTTAATATTAATTATTATTTTATTGATTTATTAATTAAATTGAATTGTTTTATTAAATAAATATATTATTATATTTTTTGATATTTGTGCGTTCCTTATCACCTTAGGGTTTCAGCTGAAAATGAGCGTTAGGTACTCTAACATTATGCCCCTTATTGCACTGACAAATCCCCACTAGTAGGGATGCTAGATTTTTTTTTTCATTTGCATGATGTATATGTCGCATCCAAGTGGTATAATCAGCCAACCAATTGGGCGACTAGTCCTTTAATGAAATTTAATGCCGCCATTCAATTAAAGGGCTAGTCGCCCAATCGTGAACCACAAGTTAATAATTTACAATTTATTGATGATTTTGCAGTATATTGCCTCTGGAAACAATTTGTCCTTGTCCATTTTTAGATTGTACAACTTGGCTGCGACATATAAACAAAATGAAAAGACGAAGACATAATATTCCACCTTTATAGGAGCATCTGTACCCAAACAACTGATTACCATATTTGACAAATATTTTTCGACCATTTAAGAAATGAAATAACCAATTTACTAACTTTCCAGAAGACTTTTAATCATACAAAAGGGTTTCCAAATTAATTCTATTAAAGGCACTTATTACATCGAAGAAGATAGAGATTATGAACCCATTTTGAGTCAAAGACTTATTAATGTCCATAGACAAATTAAACAGGTTTTCCCTAGCAGAGCGACCATCGACCATCCCTAAAGCCGAACTGATTGTAAGGTAGTATGTTTATGTTCAAGACGCTGTTTTATGAGATGTTGTTCAAATAATTTACCAACACAAGAACTTAATCTTATGGGTTGATAAGATTCTGCAACATCTGGGATTTTTCAAGGTTTTGGGATGAGGCACTCAGTTTTCCATTGTTTTGGGATTAGACTTTTTGACCATAGACCATTTAACAAATTTAAAAATACTAGAAGATTATCATCCTATTAATATTATAAAGGCGAAAGTTTGTAAGTATGGATGTATGGATGTTTGTTACTCTTTCACGAAAAAACTACTGGACGGATTTGGATAAAACTTTACAGCAATATAGGTTATACATCAGAATAACACATAGGGTACTTTTTACTGGGAAAACTTCTCACTCCCACGGGATACCGACTTCCACGCGGACGAAGTCGCGGGCGTCCACTAGTCATTAATAATTTTGTACAAAATCCAGTCTAAACCAGTTGATGTATTTTTTCTCGATTGTAGTGCAGCCTTGAGTTCAGAAATAGAAAATGGGTCAACTGGAAATAAATTGTATTGTTATCCCAATTATTTGGTGAATTTACCACGGTGTCGGGTGTATATTCACCTAAAAATTAAGGAATCGAATTGCAATCATCACCTTGTAATATAAATTTTCTTATCTTAGCCCATATTTGATTCATTGAAATGAGTCTACATATCGACAGACAAAATTTCTCTCAACTAGACCTTTGTTTCTGCTTTAAGATTTTTCAATGCCTGAGCATGTTTGAATGCAATATAATTTTCCAGACTAGAGTTGAATTTGAACTTAATGAAAGCTTGTTTACAAGCATTCACAACTTTTGTACATTTGTCATTCCACCACACTAAAGGGATTCTTTTATGTCGTTGTGGAAGCTCGCAAACATGATCCATTTTTTTTTTATTTCCAATTTTAGATTTAATTGTAGATGGAATTTGAGATTGGTTGATGGTCTCTACTATTGAAGCAGTTCAATACTTTCCATTTACAAGTTATAAATGGAAAGTGTTATAACTTGTAAATAAATCAAAAGGATGAATACAAAAAGCAGATAAATTTGAATTAATAAGTTTTTCATACTCATTCTCATCTACTAATTTCAGATTTGCATGTTGAAGGATATTGGAAGAAACTGGAGGAGGTTGTGGAGCAGAAGAAAGTTTATATTTAATAAGAGTTGGCTGGTGATAATTACCAAGTGAATCAGAAGATACTTGCCATTCACACGACAAAGCTATAGATGAAGAAACAAAGGATAAGTAAAACCATTTGGCCTTGAAATATGAGAACCAATTGTAATTAACTTATTAAACTTAACCATCATTTAAAAGTACTAGATTATTCATCTATAATGTCCATAATACTATGCCCTCTCATATCGGTTTTAGTACATTCCACTGTAGTAATATAATGGGCATTAAAATCGCCCGCAACAATGAATGGTTTTGGCAGACTATCTATTAACTGAGACTATTATATTTTAGTTAAATATTGAATTTGAATTTCCTGGTATATAAAATCTCACTAAAGTCAATGTCTTTTTATTTATTTCTATTTGAATTGCTACATTTTGTAAGCTTGTCATGAAAGTATTAATTTTATGGAAGTTTAAACTATTATGTACAAGTATGGCTACCCCATTGTGACCATTACCACCGTCATTTCTCACAATGGAATTTCCATTCATATTGAAAATGTGGTGTGGCTTTAGCCATTTTTCACGAATTAAGCCTATATTTAGAGAATTATTCCAAAGATTTCCTTAAAATTTGAAAGAAATTTCTGAAATTCATGTTGATTGCTTAATAAAGTTTGTGCATTCCACTGTACTATATTAATTACGTTTTTATTCTGTAAAGTTTCTTAAATGGTGTCTAAAATTTTTTGACAATTTATACTTGTGTTGTTTGTTTTATTTAATGTTAAGACTTAAATGAGGAAGTATTTAAAAAAAAAACGAAAGCACTAAAAAAGCACCTCCACTAGAGGCGACTCTAGCAAAAGTTGATATTTGCAGGAAACGAATGGACCAAAGACAGTTATTTCCGTTCCCTTTAACTAACATATTAAAAAACTGAAATTTGAAATCTTCAAACTTAGATATCAATACAAATACGAAAAAGTACAAATAGAATATGAGTTGTTCAGGGGCCATAAATTACGTCACACAAAATTCAGGATTTTTTAACGCTGAAATATCCTATTATCTAAAAACGTATTGGCTAGGTTGGCGCTGTTGAAGATTACGCCTACTTTGTATTTGTTAACCTTTTTCTAATGCTTAATACCTTTAAACGGGTAAAACATCTGCTATGATACATCATATCCCGAGTACCGATAGGGTTTTCATTTACGCTTTCTACAAAAAACTTAACTCAGACTCTACAATAGTGTTTGACAGACTTAAAGTATCAGATATCGCTTTTTTCCGTTTCTTTGGCCATTTCTCACCACCAGAAAAGAAATATAAAAACTTACCAATAAACTCCTATACAATTTAACTATATAAAC